AGTCTACCAGCGTAAACGCACGGACCTGCTCGCCGCCCGCGACGCCTCCCTCTCCCCGCTCGCCTTCGGTCAACTCATGAATCTACGCCTCTTCAACGTTCAGAAGTGAAATCCTCAACGGGTTGCGCGGCGATGGGTACAATCTGGACGCACGCCTTTGCGTGCCGTGCACGCAGAAATATCCGTAACACGACCCAACAACCGAATCCGTCCCGATCTGTCCGCGACCAGCGTAGCTGGTACAGCGACGGACAGGCGGCGGATCAGCCGCCGACTAAATTTCGGCGCGCCCTAAACTACTCGTTTCGGCTTGCGTTTCGGCTCGTGCCTAAACCAAAGCCGAAATCCCGCATCTTGGGGCAGCTGAAATCTAAGGCGAAACTCAAGATTTCGGTATCGCTTTCGGCTCATCTGATATGCTACATTTAAGCTGCCCTTTTTCGAATACCGATACCAATAGTTTCAGTTCTCGTCTCAGCCCACCTTCAATGCAATTTCATTTTTATGTAAGATATCAGCTGCGTTTCAGTCCGTCCGAAAAGCATTTTTATTCTACTTGTTTGAGTTACAAAATCAGCGCGACTGATACTCAATGAATAGGCTCTCATTCACACGGCAAAATCCGGGCTTTTGGGCCGCCGAAAAACGTATCGATCAAGCCCGTTGGCGCTTCGCAATCCCACATATGTGTCGAGCCGAGATGCTTACGTGCGTCGTAGGGCAGAGAACCAGCTCCGCGGTGCCGCTCGCAAAACCCTGCGGCCGCGCTGCACATGGAGCGTGCCCACATCGCACCCGCTGCCACTCACACCCGCTCCGTGCCGCGCGCCCAATGCCGCCCGCGAATCCGCGGGTCGGTGTGAACGCGCGGCTCAGGCTAGCGACGTGGCGCCGTCAAGCGGCCAGCACCGCCCATATCTTGCCCCACCGACCAAGAAGCCGGGGCGCCGTGTCCGCTTACGCTGCGCGGCGGCGCCCGCGTCCTCTCTTTCCTCGCCGCTCCGCAAGTCCACTATTTACATCACAGGAGCGCGCTCGGTAGCATCGAGCACCGATCGCGGCGACGCGCGGGTGCGCGGGCATCCACCTGCCTGCGAATCCGAGCTCGTACAATCACAGCGGCAAGCGCGCGAAGCCGCCTGCGGCTGCGCCTATCCGCGCGTCGTCAGCTACGACCGTGTACAGGGGGATAGAAGGGAACACACCTTCCACGTCCAGAAGGACTAGTCGCGCATGCCATCCATGCTTGCGAGCGCGAATGCGCGTACGCCCGTCTTGGGCCCGTCTTGGTGCTCGCGTCCCACTGTGCCGAATCCTCCCAGAACTTGCAGTCACAGCCGTAGCTCTGGTTGCTGCCGACGACCGTGAGGAACGACCCGCAGTTTAGATTTTACCCGTTGCTGAACTCGCCCGCGACGACCACGCCAGAGTCCGAGCGGCTGGCATAACTGCAGAAGACCCGTTAGCGCGCAAGGCACCTCTCGTTGATGGACGGTCCCCTAGCGTTGCACGCCTGCTTCGGCCACTGCGATCGCGTCGTTCAGTGCGCCGTTGGACGTGAAGTACGGGTGCGTGTCCAGGATGATGCGGTCTGAGCCGGAGAGGACTTACTCAGGCCGTCAAATCTGTGTGCGGGTCAGCGGCGCGCTGCGGAGGAAGAAAGGGAGGGCGCGCACCCGTCAGGAATGCTGATGTAGGATTATCTTGTGCACCTCGGGGTAGCTCCGTCTAGTCAGCGTCACCGTGTCTCACCAAAGGAGAGGAGGACATACAACGCGGTGGGTGGCCGATAACCGCTAGGCGCGCTGCGGCAATAGTAACGGGAAGAACACACAGCGGGCGACGCACCCTTGTTGATGACACCAAACATCTGCACGACGTCCTGGTACTCTGGCTGTGCGATGAACTAACTTCAACTACGTGATGATGTGGAAGTATCATGTAGTCGAGGGTACGCTCTGCGGGCGGTCAGTCATACAACTTGAAGCGCGGAAGAGACGGGAGACGCACGGGCATTCGCGATGCCCATGATGCCGTTGAGGAAGTTGATCTGCCCGCCCTTGCCCTGAGTGGTTGTAGCCTGCCATCATAGATTCAGAGCATCCGGAGAGCGCGAGGCGGCGGGCGCGGGACACACCGTTCTGCGAGCCCGGGACGGTGTGCAGCTCGATGTTCACGCGAATCCCGTACTTGCGTTGTACTTGCGCGCGCCCAGCCGAGGAGGAGTACAATGTACTTCCAGCACACACCCTCGAGGTAGGGCTCCCCCATGGGGGCGCCGGACGGCGAGTTGGAGCCGACGTCGGACCAGGTGCTCCGATAAGGGTTAGGGACACAACAGCAACAGAAAGACGGGAACAAAAGGGAGGTAGGGCAGCGACGCACCTGATGGCCCAGAACGGGAATACGACGCGGACCCAGTTAAGTCCCGCCGCGCGATCTGTGATGTCCTCCTCCGTCTGCACATTGGTCAGTACGGTAGAACAAAAGAAAGACAACACACCATAAATGTACCATAGCGCTCCTCAAGCTTTGCTGCGAGCGTGCCGTCCGCGCGCATGAGTGTGGAAAGGGACCATTCGTCCGTCGCGGTTGGGTACGCCCGGAAGAGCGTGGGCAAGATGATTGCATGATTCCATAGAAAGGAGGCGAGCAATCGGCACACAATAGCCGTGTGATCCCACGCTGCACCGCCATGCGCTTGTCCTGCCGCTGGTTGCCCGTGACGACGTGTCCGTACCCATAGACGCTTGGCAGCCCACTACAGCAGTTCACCACCTTGTCTGAGAAAAGCAGCTGGAGAGTGTCGCGGACTCGCAGTGCCACAGGTACCGATGGGCAACGGGCTCTATAGTGGGAGCGTCACAGTGCAGGAAGAGTAAGCGCGGGAAGGACGACGATTGGACAAGTTGAAGGTGGACATGAAGAAGTGGCAGCGCACACTGCCACCGATCAGTAAACAGCCGCTGGGACCAGTCAAGATCCTAACGATAAGACAATAAGACTCCAGTGAGCTCAGAGTGGCGGCAACAAAAAGGACTTGCCGTGAACGTTAACTGCCGTTTGTGGCATTGGAACAAGACAGTCCGAACCCGACTTACCTCGTGCGAAACAACAATAGTATGAGTGCTTTGCGGCTTTGCGCGCACGAGCATAATCTCGACATGGTTTCCAGATCTAAAAGAACTTGAGGTCAGATTCCATTCGTTCGCAGTGCGCTTGTGATGCCACACCACCCAAAAGGATTGTTATTGAAATCGAGGTGCTCGAAGGTAACGGAGTCGGGTCCCAGATTAAAGGTGATAGCGGGGTAGATGGAGTTGGTAAAGATGTGTTCGAGGTCCGGGAAATGTTCGAACAGCGGTTTGAGCGCGAGTATGTACTGTTTAAACATTTTCGGGGCAAAGGTCCGGAACCCGCCTCGAAGACCCGATGTCAATCAGGTGTCAAATCAGTGGCGGTGGTGCTTACTTGACTGGAATCCGCAAATCCGACGAATACATTTGTTTTTCAACAATTTCTGGAATAAGCGGCGCTGGTGTCGAGACAGGACAACCATCCCGGGGCGCTGCAAGGAAAATTAGTTTGTTTTCTGGATTGGAAGAAAACGCACTTTTCGACCTCCCCCATGCGACAACCCGCCTGCTAGAGAGAAGAACTTTCCACGGCGGTGACATTTATCTGCTGCAGCAAACGCGCCTACATTGAGCCCTTCCTCCCTCGTCTGCTTCAAGGCCTCGGCAGCCTCAGCAACTACGCTCGGCCAATCGGGATCTTCGGGTGTGCCGATAAATGCACAGATCACACGACTCTCTCGATCGACGATAAGCAGCGGATTTCTTGAGGTGAACATCAGCATGGATAACAAGGCAAACGGATTCAAGTAACGCACTTGCCATCCCAGGCAACATACGTGTATCCCATTTGCTCAGTAAGCTCCTGTAAGGTGCGGAGACGAAGCACTTTGAGCTGCTCTGAAGCACAGCTGGTGCGTCCGCCACGGGCACGGGGCCCTTTTGGACCTGGCGGTTTCGAGCCGATCCAGGCGCCTCCCCCGGAAGGTTTGAAGCGACTAGCGTCAAATGCGGACGCATGGGACGGGAGAAGGCGATGGTCGGGGAGGTGTTTTGGGTGTGAACCCCTCGTAAATGGGGAGGCGGCTTCTTCCTGCCGTTTCCGTTGACGACGCTTCTTGTTGTAGAGTTTTTTGCGTGCAGCGGAGCCCTGAGACGACTCAGAAAGCGGTGGAAAATCGGTGGTTAGGGATAGGTGTGAGGCGAAGGGCGTAGGGGAGCGGGTGGCACTAGATTCGGGTGAAGGGGAGCGTGTAAGCGGTGTAAGTGGAGAAGGCGGACGTGAATGGACATCCTCCCAGTCGCTCAGATCCTCCTCAGCATCCCCGCCCTTCCCCTGAGCATCCGCGGCGGCCCGAGCGGCAGCAAGCAGCTCATGCAGGTCAATGTCGGCTCGAACGACTTGGTTGTTGCGGGCCATAAAGTCGGCTGGCCCGGAGCGCACCTCGTATGGCGAGAACACGGCCCCCTGCCGAGTGCGACGCGACATGCGCAAGAACTCTACAGGGAAGGGAATAGATCAGTAGGTGTACAGGTTGGAATGAAGGGGAAAGCGGTTCGAAAGCGCGAATAATCACCCCAGAGTGAGCATAGCGCCTATGGTCAGGCTCGGCGCTCACACCGGGGTGAGCACGGAGGGTATACACGCGGAGTGGCACCAACGATGCCACCTATAGTGCCTATGGTCAGGCACAGCAGGTGGCACGTTGAATGCGGCTCAATGGAAGGGGGGAAGGGACTAAGACTGACTGGGAGTAGTTTGAAGCACATACCTGACTTCTGGAGGAGGATGGTGGTGTTTAGTGGTCAAGATCACCGCAGACGACGCGTGCAGTCACACTTTCGATCGTGTGACAGGACGTGCGGCAGAAAATAATAATAATAATAATAATGAATATGGACGGTAAGGCGGACACCTTACAAATGGACCTTGTAGCTTAGTTGGTAAAGCGTCTTCATGTTGTATGACGAGATACATTGTTGTATCGTGAGGATTATCGTGGGTTCGAGCCCCACCAAGGTCTCCTTTTTTTTCTAGCCCTCGTTGTGATCCGCGTCATCCTCTGCCCAAACATCGAGGCCGGCAGATATGTAGATAGCACTTTCGTTCCCACTAGTTGCTTGTATCCAAAAAAATGTTATTCTCTACAGGAATGTTATTCTCTACAGGAAAACATAAGTAAGTAAGTTCGGGACGAGGATGGCGCGTTGGGCGCAGCGGAAGCGGGTGACAGGGGCCACAGTGGTGGGTAGAGAGGTGGTGAAGCGACAGGGCGCGCGGGAGCGGCGGCAACCCCATTTTCTCATTCCGCGCCCGAACCTAGCCTACTTGCGGGAAAAAAAAGAGGTGGTGCGTAAGATGTGTCGCATGCGCGCCGCAGTTAAAGGTCGCCCCGAGCCCGAGCCCGAGCGCGTCGCCGTCCTCCGCCTCCTGCTTCACCGCCGGCCTTTTGATGCTACTGTGATGTGACCCCCGTGTTCCGTCCAAACGGTGCTTTCGGCGCAGCAGCACTTGCATCCAGGGCAGTCTTGCCCTCCGCAAACTGTGCACGTCGGGAAGAAGTGTCCCCCTTCGTGTTCAATCCAAACATCGGACACCGGGCACATGCATGCACAGCCTGGACAGTCCTCCAAGCTGCACTCGGGGCAGCGAAGGGACACGGGACGAATGCGTGCCCCAAAGTCGCCTTCAAAGATTGGGGCGGGAGACGCCTCACGTTGAGACAGCGCATCCGAGTCCGAACTCCCCCTGCCAGTGTCTTGAATCGGCTCTCTACGGGAGTGGTTCTGAAGGATAGGACGAGGAGTACGCTTTGGAGAAGATAGTGGCGCTGCGGCCTCCGGCGGCTCCTTGAACAAACGCGGTGGCTTGATGGGTTGGTCCTGCGCTGACGAATTGAGGCGCACTTCGTCGGCGTCCTTCTTCCTGTTAATTGAGTCAAGCCACCGAAGTGCAAAAGACAAAAGAAAAGAAAGGATCTGCGAACCGGGTCTGCTTTTGCTCAGCGCGTAGCCGTGTCGAGTTTGCACGCAAGTCCGCATTCTTCCTGGAGAGAAAGGAATAAATCGGAGGGTGCTATTGAGCAGGATTGGGGGGACGAAACCTGTCGCGGTACCGCTGTGAGTTGTCTGCAGCCTGCTCGCGGTACCGCCGTTTGGTATGGAAGTCGGATGCCGCAACTTCAGCGCGTTTGCTAGTATTATACAGTTGTGATAGCCTGGTGTTGAGTAGAATGGATGAACACACCGTCGCATCCGCAGAGCAGCATCTTTGCGGCGCTTTTCTTGGTTTCTGCATTCTTGCTGAAGTTGTTCGTTCGAGGACTGGAATGGAGCTCACAGTTCCTCGTAACGTTGACGGCCAGCCTGTTGATTCTCCTGCTTAACTTTGGGGTCGAGCGGTGGCCGTCCAGCGGGCATTGTGGCTGCAATGCTAAGAAGTGGTGGAAGGTGAAGTGCGATCACGATCAAAAGTGTGAATGGACTCGGGAGCTTAAATCAGTTCGCGATGATAATTATTCGGGGGCCTTGCACTTGGCCTCCCTTCCTCACAGTGCTACCGAAGCCGAGGGATAGACCATAGAAGTCTACAGGAGAGTGTCTAGGGCTGGAGACACACCCTGTGGTCTGCAAAGACGAAGGTCGTCAGTTCGCGATCAAAATCAGTTCGCGATCAAAATCAGTTCGCGATCGAAATTCGCGATTGAAGCTGAGGTCCATGCCCCTTCTCTGGGTGCCGCAAAGTATTATCACACGAGCCCTATAGACGACAGGAACCAGTATGTACGATAGACACCTATGGGCTTTGAAGAAATACACCGCCATTTCACGATCGTCGACTTTGTTTCGCTATTGCCCTCATGCTCAGCGCTCAATGCCTCAGGCTGAGGCACCTTGATGAGGATGAACCAGATGGTAGTATGCACACATTAGAATGGATTGAATGATATACTTTATTGCTCTGCTAATAAGAACACGTATGCTGACCCTGCCGATGAACCCCGCGCCTTTCGTCGTCGTTCGCCCCTCGGGCGGAAACCTGTGTGATAGTTCGAGTAAATAAACACACCTAGAACAATGACTTACTGATATACGGCTTGTCCCAGTCATTGCCAAGCTTAAAGGAAAAATCTCATGTCTTGACGCCTAATGTGCGAGTGGCGCGTATCGACGAGGACGGCCGACGTGCGGGTCGGAGGCAGCTCGGTGACCTTGTGCGGGGACACGCCGCACTCCTGGACGAGGGCCTGAACATTGGCGAGGGAACTGGGCTGGAGGCTGGCATGGACGGCGTCGAAGATGGAGTCGGGCGGGGAGTCGACGAGGACGGCCGACGTGCGGGTCGGGGGCAGCTCGGGGACCTTGTGCGGGGACACGCCGCACCCCTGGACGAGGGCCTTGAGTAGACGGGGGCAGTGGGCTGGAGGCTGGCCCGGGCGGCGGCGAAGATGGTGTCGGGCGGGGAGTCGACGACGACGGCCGACTTGCGGGTCGGGGGCAGCTCGGGGACCTTGTGCGGGGGCACGCCGCACCCCTGGACGAGGGCCTTGAGTAGACGGGGGCAGTGGGCTGGAGGCTGGCCCGGGCGGCGGCGAAGATGGTGTCGGGCGGGGAGTCGACGAGGACGGCCGACTTGCGGGTTGGGGACAGCTCGGCGGCCTTGTCTGGGGACACGGCGCACCCCTGGACGAGGGTCTTGAGTAGGCAGGGGCAGTGGACTGGAGGCTGGCCCGGGCGGCAGCGAAGATGGTGTCAGGCGTGGGCGGGAGCGCCACGTCAGACGCCGTTGGCCTGCTGGTCGTCGGAACCGAGGGGCGTGACGACGCCCTCAAGCTGTTGCTCTGGGAGGTGCCGGCGCGAGAGTCCTGCTCGTTACACCACCGCTTGCATTCCCGTGCTGAGACGGGGGAAGTGGGCCGTTGTCAATTCGACCACATTCCGGCTCAAAATTGGGGCCGATCCTATGCCGGATTGACGTAGCATCAATAAGCACGATCTTGCCCAGCGCCGTTATGTGTCCCGCACGAAATGACCATGCTGCCGTCGGCATCAGACCTTTGCAGATCTTCTGCCGGATTGATGCTGGAGGGTCAGCTTTGATCCAACCTCCATTCAAGGTTGGAGGCGACCTCTATCCCACATACTGACTCCTGTCTGCCCGTACTCGACGCAGTGAAATTCTTCTAAGTCCGTTGTTTGGTTACCTGTATAGTCGATCATCAGGCTCAAGCTTTGGCCGGGTGTCATGTCTCTTTTCTCTCCTTACCCCACCTCATGCTGCCTCATCACTAGTCCAGGCCTCCTCTTAGATATTTCGGATGGCTCACACCAAAGCCTCTCCCCCCCAATCTTCTCTTCATGCCAACTGCGGGTGCGGCCGCCGGGCCGCGCCGGCCATGGCTGTTTTTGCATCTTTTTCTGCATTCCTTCACTCACCCTTTTGTCTGACTGTAGTCTGCCTGTACTGTTTCGAGTTTTTTGTACTATAATGTAGTGTCTTAATACCCCCCAACCAGTAGTTACCCAGTGTGCGAAGGAAAAATGCAATTTTTTTTTTTCAAAAAAAAAAAGCGGAGCAGGAATGGCGGCCGGCACACGCGCTGGACCGCATTTGGCAGCTCCGAGTGGATGGTGAGCTGACATAAAAATCTCGACGTTGGGCAGATGTCGGTCCATAGGGGACAGTTTGATGTCGGAACTAACATTGATACGATGTTGGGAGCTCCCATGCTGCTCCCATGTTGCGCGTCAGCGGTGGTGTAGGGAGCGAGCGGGTGTCGTGCGAGCGATGGGACAGCAGTGATCACGAGCAGGGGTGGTCACCTGCCAGTGGCCGGCAAATGCCGGTGCCGTTGATCCCGTCACGGCATCTCTGATGCGCCATCAACGGTCTTCGGGGAGCTTCGGACGTTGAGGGACACGGGCGGAAGCTGTCACAGAGTGGCAGGACAGGGCGGGGGAGCGGCAGGCATCTATTACATATAACACTACATTACATAATGAATGGCCGAATGTCCTCGGCAGGTTTGGGGACCTGCCGAGGCTGATGGACTCCGGCATGCCTGATGCGCCATCACCAGGCTCGGGAGACGCATCAAGGCAGGCCCGGAGTGTTCGATTGACATGACAGCTGCCAGGACCTGGCGGGAGCCCCGCATGCTTCTATTAGGTGTCTTATTACATACATTGCGGAAGATTATCGACGACAGCTTCGTTTGACAGGCCATCAGTTGGACTATTGCACTCACCACTCTCTTTCCGCCCCCCTCTAGTAGTACGTGTGTTCTACGTAAAGACAGGTAGCCATTTAGCCTACAATCAGTTACCAGATGTCTTCGTAGTAGACTGGCTGTTCCAATTGTGGGACCGTGTCAGTATAATTTACCTCCTCCTCCTCCTCCTCCCTTCGACGCCGTGCTAATCTTGGTTGATCAGGTGCCAATACTGGCTTTGTCAAATTGTTTGGCCCTCGCGTTCCAATGCCATCCTGATTCATTGCCCCACCCCTTGCCGGCGTGTTTGCGGCTTCACGAATCGGCCGCGTAGCGGCCCTCCCACCCGCAAACCTCACCTATCATTCATCCCCCCATTCATCTTATCTCCCGTTCCTTTTCCCTTAAGAAGTCAGCTGTACAAAAGAAAAAACCAATCACATATCTTGGGACTACGCGAAACGGTGAGACAGCTTCCTCGAGTTGAAGCTTCTGTGTAGTGCTTATTAGATAATTTTTATTATGATGTACAGTCTGGGAACGGCGAGCAGCTCGGCCGTTGACTTCGAATCTCATGCCCACGTTCGTAGCGAGCAGCAACACCGAGTCCAATTGACTCTGGCAACTC